CATCCGCAACTGCCGGCTCAACAACCGCCTGCGCCGCGGCTGCGACTTCCGGCACGACGCCGAGGTGGTCTGCGCAGGTGGGGTGCCCCCGGCGGCGGGGGTGCGGGTGGACCCGCAGGTGGGGGAGGGGAGGCCCAGGAAGAGGGGGCAGGGGTGGGGTGTGCCCTGAGACCCAAGCACTGGTTTGCTGGAGTGTCCAGGCGGTGGCCCCCCCCCCCCCCCCCCCCGCTTCCTTGGGTCTAACCAGTCTGGTGGATTCTCTGTGAGCAGCCAGAAGATGGGGTGTCTCTGCTTAGAGATGAGATTCAAGTCTCTGCCTGCCCCCTCTTCCTGGCCTCCCAGTGTTGACCTGACTCTGAAGAGGCCGTGTCACCAGGTCTGACCAGGCCACCATACCTCCCAGGGCGCCTCCCCAGCCCTCTCACCTCCCAACTCCATCAGGGGTCAGGGCCCTCCCTCATCAACCCAATCACATCCTGAGTGCAGAAGAGCCCCAACTGGGTTGGGGCTGCAAAGGACCTCAGAAACAGATCTGCGCAACGGTCTCCTTTCTATATGGATTTTAAAAATTAACAATTACCCACACACCTCATTTAAAAAAACCTGAAAAGGAAAGGCAACCATAACAGAGAAAAAAGCCCTCTCAGAATATCACCATAAGTCAAAGATTTGGCTCACAGCCTCACCTGTTTCACTGAGGAAACAGGCACAGAGAGGGTAAGTAACTTGTTCAAGGTCACACAGCAAACAGGCACAGAGAGGGTAAGTAACTTGTTCAAGGTCACACAGCAAGGGAAATGCTGAGACTGGAAGCCAAGTCTCTGGCCACTCTCTGGGGTCTCCCTAAAAACTGGTGGCCTGGCACCAGCGGCCTCATCTTGCCACATCAGTGAACACTACCCTCTGTCCACTTGTCCACCGGCCCCCTTCCCTTCCCTCCTCCACACCGACACCCGCAAAGTCAAGAGCACTGTCACTAGAGCTGTGCCTGATGCCAGCACACACTGAGACAGTGTCCATCGCCAACCCTCCACACCACTCCTGCCAGCCACGGGGCAACCATGCCAATGAAGAGTGGAGCTCCATCTTCCCAGTTCTCTCCCTCAAGAGACTTGACTGCAAATTGCCCACCTCCCCAAGCCTAGAGAAAAGTCTGGGTGCATGAGGAGAGAGGGGACTTGAGGGGCTGGAGGGACTGGGAACAGACGGCAGAAAGGACCTCCGGGTGAGGAAGGTGGCTGGAAGGGCTGGAGTAGAGGGATAGGCGCCCTTCTGGGCCAGAACCCTTAAAGGTCACCAGGGCAGGGCAGAGCAGGTGACTAGGGGGTCCTGGGGCTGGGGGTAGGGGACAGCAAGTTGCTTCTGCTGTGCCCAAGCCTCTCTCCAGGTGCCAGACACGGAGAGGAAGGTGGCAGGCGCCCACTGCCCTTGCCAGGAGAGAGAGGTTGTGTCTCCTGCACCCCTCTGGCTGCTCCCACCAGCCCCCAAATCTGACTTAGACCCAACCCGGGTCAGCCTGGGGTGGAGGCAGGGAAGAGAGAAAGGAGGCAACGGGGCAGGAGCGCCCCACCTCGTCAGATCCGGGCTGCCCTGGTGTGACCAGGGTCCCTGAGACTCTCCCACTGTCGCCTCGTCAGCGGGAGCCCCTTGCGCTGAGGCGCCCCCTCTCCGGGTCGCCCCGTGTCCTTCTAGACGGGAAGGAGAGGTCGGCGCACTCACACACCTCGCGTGCTTAGCAAAGTGGGGTGTCTGCCCACCTGCCACAGCCCGCAGGGCTCCTG